GCACATAGTATAAAGGCTTACATGGTTACATTCACTTTATTTGTTTTCATAGCCTTTAATATGTATTGTTTTGGGCAGTAAGTGAAATATATTAAATACAGTTTTTTTTCATCCAAATACAAAAACGAAAATACCGAGATATATACCATACATCGCAAATCGGCCAAAAATTACAGAGATATTAATTTTTGCCCATATCGCCCAGCCCTACTCCTTGCTCCTCGATCCTTGCCTCCTCACCGTGCAATTAGAGAACTGAGATGTCCTACAAGATAGCTGAGCTCGATCGGTTTCCAGGTCATAGGATTGGAGGACGGAGGAGCGAGGAAACGAGGAGGGATATTGAGAAGCACCCTATGCACCTATAGACTGAACACGTAATACACATGCGCATGACGTCACTGTTCACAAATTTGTATTTCTGGTGCTTGTAAACTTTGGAATTTGCACTTTGATACCGGTTTTCAAAAGTTCAATTTCAGGCCCCCAAATTGTTTTGTAGATAAACGGCCAAAATGCATAAAAAGCTTTTTTGTTTTATTTGAAAATTGTGTCTTGTAAACACCTCCTTATCGTGTAATTTACATGACACTATTTTCAACAAAAATTGAAAACGTATGCATTTGGACAGAAGAGATAAAGCATGTCATATTTGTTTTTTTTTGTGCCACGGTAATATAAATCAAAGTACAGTGTCATAAATGTACATTAATTATTTTAGGTGTAAAACAGGTAAACCTTTGCCTGCAAAATATCTGAGATTACACTAATGCAGGGGTCGGCAACCTTTTCGGCATGACGTGCCATTTTTTATTTTTCTGGTTAACCAGCTGACACAGAACAAGATGTCACATGGATTATTTTACAGATCTCCTTGCTACGTTTCTGGAACATTTCAGTTGCGTTGCTGTCTATGCAGGATCAGACAGTTCTCAGATTCCATCAAAAATATCTTAATTTGTGTTCCGAAGATGAACGAAGGTCTTACGGGTTTGAACTGAACTATCCCTTTAAAAACCTCAGCTTTTATAATAAATTTAGATAAGATTGCATATATTAAGTTTATATCAAATAGATGGAAACTGTAGTATTAAATACACTTTATAATAAGATTTTATTTCATACAATTTGACTGTACTTTTATTTAATCCAAACGGTGTTCATATTCAATTTTAAAGGACTTTTAAAACCTACTAGAGATATTCAGCCAAGAATTACAACTAAAAAAAACAAAACAAACAAAAAACTTTTTCTGACGGACTGATATGACAAACACTGTTAAAGGCGTGGTTGACTCTTAACTTTTATAAAGAATATCTCTTTGGATTTGAGACTTTTCTTTGCAACTTTACAGATATTCTTTATGCACCAACAGCTTGTAACACGCCAAAGAAAAAGGAAAAATTGCAATGCATCATATGACCCCTTTAAATGACGCTTCGCGCTCTGTGAACAGTAAACCCGCCTACTTTGATTTGATTGGCCATCTGTCATGTTGACATTAACGAGCGCTGTTAGACCGCTGAGGCTTTGATCTGAAGTGCCTAGTATTGTGCAGCGGTCGCGCGCAAATCCGAAGAATAGCGCAAGTTAATTCTCACACTTTACCAGTATTTATAGCTCCTAGCAGTCTGTGTGACAATGAATAGTCATTACCTCAAAATGTACGTCAGTATGCATTTTTCCCTATTGCTCGCGTACCGTAGGTTGCCGACCCCTGGCCTGCACTAATGTAAAAACAAAGTGAATCTGGTGAGTCTCACATGCTCTGAGATCAACACAGTTTTGCGATTCTAAAAAATAGTGAGCGAAAATAAAATATAAATGTTATCGTTGTCAGTTCCATCCCATTTCTAAGATCTTTGAACGGTAGATTTTTTTAGACATTTTAATGATTAAGGGAAGTAAAACTTTTTAAGGATCCTCAGGCACCCGTCAAGTCTGTTTGCTTAATGTACCACAAAGTCATTAAAGATGAATGAAGAATGAAGGATAAAGATCAACCTCCTTGTTCCTCGTTTTTTATTCTCCAGGTTTCTGGTTCACTCGTGTTCTCCTCACTCTCCTCTTTAACAAACACCATCTTCACAGCAGCAGATCTCAGTTCAGATTATACTCCTCCTCTAGATATTCCTGCTTGCTTCAAAACTTAGTCACGACTAAGAGGATGAGAATATTACAGGTATTTACTGACCTGATTCAAAAACTGTAATTTTCTATTTACAGAAACAACATTTCTAACCGCTTGTATTAAGCCAGCATGACGACAAAACAACACAGAGCGCGCTGAAACTAATCTTCTTCCTCTGAGGTTTAATGGTGTTTGGCAAACAAACGTATGTGTTTTAGCGCCACCCGCTGGACTGGAGTGTGAAGCGACTAGAGGAGGGAAATAATATGAGAGAAATACTTAGCGAGTGTACAGTGCATTCCTTTTCAATCAGCATTGCATAATATTGTTAGGAAATAGTAGTCTGTTTGTGAAATTGACCAGTATAACTATGGAGAACTGGACGCTTGTCAAGCAGACAGATTTTATTTGATTTTTTTCATGAGTTTGAAGACTTCAATATAAAGTATCAACATTTATTATCATTGGACTGCACTCTCACCTACATAAAATAGAAATTCATACACTGCTGTACTACAGCATGTTTGCAAATTTAAATCTGGCACAGCCAACTCTGCTTAACTTCAACACTACCAAAAATAGAAAATGATGTGTTGGCTATATACCCTGATATATTTTTAGATTAAACAAACATGAACATAAGCAGATTCATTTTGAGTAAAAAAAAAAAAAAGAATCTCTGAATCAGAGAAAGTAACAACAGCCTGTTCATAAAACATGATGCCTGTTTACTGATGAGGTGCAGCCACACAGACATTTAAAAAGCATGTTTGGCTTTCTCATATTTGACCAATAAATACTCAAACATTAAATAATTACACTTTTTAAAAACATGTCATATTTACATAAGAGCTCTGCAGAAAATCTGACCTGAAAAAAAAAAAAATGCAGTCAGAGTGCAGGATAAATGTGGAAAAGTCATAACTGAACAGGGCAGAGAACAGCGTGGGGGTATTTTCAAATTAGAAACCAAAAACACAGTTCCTTGTGTTAAAATCGCATTTGTTGAACTACTTTAGAGTAAACTTTAGAATTGTTGAAGGTGTAAAGATGCTACATATAGTATAGTTGTGATTTTGCTGTAAAAACACCTTTTTATTATGTATAGCTAACGGGAGCTGCAGTCTCGTACAAGTACACGTGTCTCCAAAGTGGATTTACATACACCATGTACATCTTACAGACGATTACTAAATGTCTATGTAACATTTCTGACAGGAAAATATTCAATAAGAATTGCAGATGAGCATATCTAATAGACATGAAATAGACGTCTGAGTGAGTGATGTATGTGTTATGTAGTAGAATTCACTGTTGTCAACACTGCTTACATTAGTTGAATGTAAGTAATGTAAATAAACAAATCTACACAGAGTAACTAAACATAAGTTATCTGTTTTATTGGTCCATTAGTACTGTTATTAAATTGAGGAGAATTTGTGTTGGATAATATGCCAGTTTAACACATCACCAACTACCTCAACATGTAATTGTAGTATTGAGCAGATAAATCACAGAGGTGACTTGACTCTTGTCTGGATGTTAAAGGGACAAAAGATAAAATATTTTATTTTGAAATAAAAATCACACTGATGACATCACTTGACTGCCTTCCTCCTATTTCCTGAAGATCTATGAAAAAAGGCCCATGTGAAGTCCACTGTCTCTTTAAATTTTCTCATTTATCTCATGATTTCATATGAAGCATTTAGTGGAAGTCACTGATATGACCTACTTTATTGTTAGGGAATTGTATTAAGGATCTTTGGTCTTATGTATGTCACTGGTGTTTCATTGTGTCATTGGTGTTACTTTTTTTTCTGTCCCATTAAATAAAATGTGTCACATGTGACATGATAATAATTTTACATCCATTGAATTCTGCTTCACTCAAGAGTTAAGATTTAAAGGATTGCATCATTACTTGTTTATAAATGTGTTTACAAATATTTTCATTGTTATAGCAAATACATGGTTGCGCAAATGAACTAACATCATTCAATCACACTTTTAACAAACCTGATTAAAATAAATAAAACAATCTCCTTATTTGTTGCATTATCATTATTTTTCTGTAACTCTGACTACATGTACTAAAAAAATGTAGAAATAATATTTCATAAAAACCCAGGAACGGACACATACAGCACCCCGACCAAAAGCATCTTCCCGCGCCCCTGTAAAAACCTTTAAAATTGCCAAAGAAGTAAGTTAACACCAGTGACAAAAAATAAATAAAAAACGTACATGTAGTCTTTAAATAAATGCACAAAAAAAAAAAAATTTAAGCTGTCATTTATGTGTATTCATAAAGTCAAAAGGTATAATGTGGTCTAAGTTTAAATGTTAAAAAAAGAAATACATTTTAAGACATCTTGCCATACCAAAAGTGGACGTTTCTGTAGAATGACCCACTATTTAGGATTCTTTAATGAATAAAAGTTTAAAAGAAATCTTTTCTAACAATGTAAGTATTTACTATCACTTTAAAGAAAAATCAATTTAACACTTTTTGATGTGATTTCTGAAGATCATGTGACACTGAAGACTGGAGTAATGATGCTGAAAATACAGCTTTGATCTCAGAAATAAATGACATTTTAAAATATACTCACATAGAAAGCAGCTGTTTGAAATTGTAATAATATTTTACAATATGACGTTTTTTTTTTTTTTTGCGTGTGGGTTTTTGATCAAATAAATTCAGCCTTGATATACAATGATGTATTCATAACTATCAAATATATGATGTAAATGACATAAAAAAATAAAATGCCAAATAAGTATTATAAAATATATAATGAAAGTAGTGGTCCCCTGGAGTTGTGTCACTGGTGTTACCGTTTAACAAAAATCATTTATTTTGAAATAGAAATCACACTGATGACATTACTTGACTTCCTTCCTCCTATTTCCTGTAGATCTATGAAAAAAGGCCCATGTGAAGTCCACTGTCTCTTTTCAGTTATCAGAAATTTTCTCATTTATCTCATGATTTCATATGAAGCTTTTAGTGGAAGTCACTGGTATGACCTACTTTATTGTTAGGGAATTGTAAAAAACTAGAATACAAATGGATTAAACTACTTAATTTAGTGAGTATACCATGATTGACAACATGTGGTTTGATACCTTGCAGCAGACATTTTGTAAAATGCATTTTTCATGAAAATTGTCACTGGTGTTACTGTCACTGGTGTTACCTTCCTAATGGGTAACACCAGTAAAGATCAGTTTACGTTGATGCTCTTTTACTAACTGCTTTCACTGATTGCCAAATGTATGCCAAATGTAACAATTTAGTCTTATCTACTTAATTGTAGTTAAAGAATAAGGATCTTTGGTCTTATGTATGTCACTGGTGTTTCATATTGTGTCACTGGTGTTACTTTTTTTCTGTCACATTAAATAAAATGTGTCACATGTGACATGATAATAATTTTACATCCATTGAATTCTGCTTCACTCAAGAGTTAAGATGTAAAGGATTGCATCATTACTTGTTTATAACTGTTTTTACAAATATTTTCATTGTTATAGCAAATACATAGTTGCGCAAATGAACTAACATCATTCAATCACACTTTTAACAAACCTGATTAAAATAAACAAAACATAATCTCCTTACTTGTTGCATTATCATTATTGTTCTGTAACTCTGACTACATGTACTAAAAAATGTAGAAATAATATTTCATAAAAACCTTTAAAATTGCCAGAGAAGTAAGGTAACACCAGTGACAAAAAAATGGTACATGTGGTCTTTAAATAAATGCACAAAAAATATAAAAAATCATTAAGCTGTCATTTATGTGTATTCATAAAGTCAAAAGATAATATAATAATGTGGTCGAAGTTTAAATGTTAAAAAAAAATTTTTTTTAAGACATCTTGCCATACCAAAAGTGGACGTTTCTGTAGAATGACCCCTGTAAGTATTTTGAAACGAAGGGGTACCTATTCTTGTATTACGTGGTATGGCCTAAACAATGATCTTTTGTTTGGGAGTGATTTAGAAAGACAATATACTTTTTAAAATTTTATACTGGTATTTTATTATAGGTCTATGTATTTTTAACCATTCTATTATTAAAGGAAACATGATGGAGATTACTGAAAAACAAAACTGGACGTCTAGTGAAATGAGTTAATGAGTTTCAGCTATGATTTATAATTCACAAGTCAGCTTTCCTTATGAAAGCTTATTCGTCGATTTCAGCAACTTCACACCAGCAACTTCCCAACACCACTATCACCAAATAACTTTGCATGATATACCATCAAGGTTCAATGCAG